GTTTTATTGAAGTATTTCTTTGTAGACGCAGTTATCAATGAAAGTCCCTTATTTTTCTGTTGCAACACTGATGAGATTTTCACTAAAAAACAAATACTTATTTTAAATTTGTTTTTTATTATTTTATATGTTAAAATTACTCCTTTTTTGTAATTTTTATTTGTTAAATCTGAAACATATCATTTCTGTGGGATTTTCAAGTGTTTTATATATTGCTCAACTATAAAAATATTACCCAATTATGATTAGTGCGGTAGTTTCCGAGATCCGAGTTTTAAAAGTATACATTACAAGCTCTATTATAATATGATTATCTTAGTGAACAGAAACCACTCTCAGCCAGAGTGTTTGTATGTGAGCACAAAGCTACACAAAGGGCTATCTGTGCTCTGCCCACCACGGGTATCGAAATCCAGTTTGTAGCAGTATAAGTCCTCAGACATACCACTGGTGGTCTAAAAGTTTATTTACTTTCGTTCATACGTTTTGTAGTACAATGCCTTGTACTATGTATAAGCCCGAATAGATTACTGTTTAAAATATAGCGATTGTACTTTTTAGTTTGATACTGTTACGACATCGAGGTCACGTGACTAGTATCACGCCACGTCATTCTCGAACATTCATGTCTTTTCCTTAAATCTCGTGATTCTTCTAGATATAGCGTAAGCTTGTATGTATAAGACTGACAACGAAGCGACGGGGAGGTAATGTGTAATTGAACTGAGTATTGTCGAGCACGAGCACGTGAGACGTTCTTTGAGAATTATAGCGTTTGTTATAGAGCGACTGTTGAAATTAAGTGTATTGCAAAGTTATATTCAGAAAGAATAAACCAGTTTTATTTAAGAGAGGACTTGTGTCGCTAAAGTTTCGTCGGAACGAATTTACGGAAAATTAACTAACGAATGGAGACATAACAATACCATAATAAACCTTATTTTGATCTTTTATGTCATTTTTGCACAAATAAGCTGTTTGAACAAATCCAACATGTATGTATTAAAAATAGTCATTACCTTCTGCTTAATTAGCTGTTAATTAACAAGATTTGACTTAAAAATTAAATTTCTGAAGCAATAATTTTAACCAAAACATTATTCAAAAAGTAGGTTATATATAGAAGCTTTGTAAATTTTACATTTTATACTTTTGTTTTTTGTTGTTAATCACAAAACTACACAATAGGCTAGTTGTGCCGTACTCACCACTTTTGATACCAAAACCCAGTTTTTAGGTTTATGAGCCCTCAGACTTATATTGTAAAAAATGGACTTTTGGACAGAAATTGAAAATAACTTTTGTTTTACCATCTTCTTCCATATTCTTCAATTACATGTTTGTTTGTTTGTTGTTGTTTTTAGTTAGCGGTTTATTGTTTCTGAAACTAATAAGTTTGACAGTTTATATTTTATTTTTATTATTGGTTTGTGATAATGCAATACTTATGACTTCCACATGAAAAGGATTGAATCCGAAACTTCTTACAAGAAACTAGTGCAGTATATCGGAATACTATACGTTTCCTACTCCCTTAGTTACCAAATAAAATTTCGGTATAATTCGGATTCTGTTATTAATATATAAAACTGGTCAAAGTAACTTATACGTTTCTTTCATCTGAGTTATTCATGAGACTAGATTAATCATCAAGGGCATCACATGTGTTCTCCATTAGAAAAGATTACTGTGACATGAGATATGCTATATATATTAACAGAAATATTTTCTACTGGCAAATCAGTGTTACACCTCTTGTTGACAATAAGAGTGGCCCTCAGTCACATGGATAGTACGTGCACCTGGAGAGTAGAAACATAGTTATAGATTCTTATACTCTCTTTGTATGAATTATAGATTTCAAACACACTGTTATATAGGCTGATATAGAATGTTACATATTTTCGAGCCATAGTTGAATTAGAAAGTTTTTAGCTTTTGATACAGCTTTAAGTTGTAGTATGGGGACGTACTATACGTGTTTCATTTCCTTAGTTAAAAACATTTTTTTAATTGTTATTTTTCGTAGACCGCCCTCTTGGACGCTGTGAAGTGCTCAAGCAAGTTACAAATTTTTTCCTTTCTCCGGCAACAAGCGATAATAGCATGCAAAATCATAAATAATATTCAACGTTAAAAATGGTACACATTTAATAACATTTTATTTAGGCCTATCTATGGCCTTTAAAAAGTCGACGACTCTACATGCTTTGAGGTTGCAACGTCATCCTCAGAAGTGAATTACAAGACAATGCTAGAATATTTATAACTTGTTAGTAGGTCATGTGACATGTATGCTATTTTACCTAAATTCACGATAAACTATTCAAAGGAGATCAATCCATATTCTTGCAGAAATATTCGCCCTACCTTCATCTCTATTTAATACTACATGATCTTTTTTATGTTTTATTATTTCTAAGGATTCACGAATATTATTACCTGTTATACTGCTACGACAGCGGAAGTCACGTGACCCTAGTAACACGTCATGAGATTCTAGAACGATCATGTCTGTTCCTGGCAACTCTAGTCTTTTCTACGCGCCCTATATTTTTGTATATATAAGCCGGCAAATGAAGTGACGGCATAGATAATTGCAGACAGGCAGAGATAGAGACGGACAATTGAGTCAAGCGCGGTAGTGACCGTAAGTAAAGTGCGTGAATCGTTGTGAATTATAGCGTGTGTTTAAGTTAAAGTGACTGTGGAAATTAAGTGTATTGCAAAGTTGTATTCAGAAAGAATAAGCTAGTTTTATTTAATTTAATAAAGGACTTGTATCGCTGAAGTTCCTCGGGAAAAATTTATACGGGAAATTAACAAACGACCAGAGAGTAACAATACTTTTTGGTTGAGCTAATATTACAGTTTTTTCCCATAATATTGTGTGTGTTGTGTTTTCTGTACATGCTCTGCTACGGATGAATTTTCATTTTTTTAATTTTTTACATATCCATAATGCTCATTTAAACGGTATTTTAAATTACGTTTTGTGTGACCAATGTAAATACTTTCATATTCGCATTCTATTTTATGTATTCCAGTTTTTCAGTTAACTGTATTTCGTCTTTCATAGTAACTAACATTTGATTCATCTTATTTATCGGTTTAAAGATAGGGTAGAATATCTGTTGTTTTTAAACACTTTAAATAAACTAGCTAGTGGTTAAACCTGGAACACATGGTAAAATTAGGCCTTCCTTTCTATTTTTTTTTCATAACTAGGTCTTAAAATACTAATTTGATCAATTATTATAGTTAAGAAATTCACTAATGCTCACTTTATACACAAATGCCAAAACACAATAATAGCATGCAACTAGCAGGTTATCTAGTTTCCTTACAGGGACAATAAAAAACATTGAATTAGTAAGCTGAGCTGATCTTGTTGGCGAATCAGGTAATAGCTGCAAGTAGTCACATCCTTCGTCTGCATCCTTCCAGCTAGCTACTTGAGGTAACAAACACTAATATGGTGTTTTTGTGTGTTAAGGAACTGAGGTTTATCTATCTGCCCGATCGCGCTGGTTTTTCTCGCCAGACTTATATACTAAAAAAGAGGGCGCCTCGAACAAACTAGAGTTACCAGGAAAATTCACGATACTTCTAGAAACTCCAGCGTGCATGCTCCCAGCGTGGCGTGACTTCCGCTGTCGTAACATTATCAAATATTGTTTTATGTTTGGATCAATGTGTATTGTCTCTTCCCTCTTATGAGCTACATTATTGCAAAATGAAGGGAAACATACCCTAAAGCCTGATATATATATATAAAAAATTCATGTTTCTAGTGGGCTGAACTCTGCTCTCTGGTTAATCTGTGAGATACCACATTGTCCTATACTTCACTTTAGTTTAGCCTCATCATTTATGAGCTCAAAATATTGGTGAACTCTTTATGAGAGCTCTTTGTCTCCCCTCATTTGAAGACACACTACAAAATTGGTTGAACTTTAATTACGTTATTTTGTAAATAAAGACTGTGATCGTTTGCAAATTTGTATCCAATCTCTTTCTTATAACTTAAAGTCAGTCAAGGGCCTAGAAAAAGTAAGTATTGCTTCATGACACAGAATATATGGAATCTTCTTGTTATTTTGTGAATTCACAAATATCACACTAGCTAGTTTTAGTAAGACTTTATTTGCGATTCAAGACACCACACGTTTTAATAGACTATATTCAAGTGTTAGATTTCTTAGATTTTATTTTTGCATTACATATTCTTTGTAAAATGTATTTTACTTTTGTAACATGTGAAGTTTATTTTCTTCCTCTTGTTCAGAAAGGTGAAGATTTCTAGTTACCAAAATGTCAAAACTATTCATACACGTAATTGACACACGTTTACAAGGTTGAGTACATTAAATTAAAATGATTTAGAATATGCAAATCAGCAATTCATATGACAACTATAGCTTATTTAACATTGCGGTGAAAGAAATTTGTCAGAGCTACGTTTTTATATTGTTTAGCATTCGTATTGTGGTGCCACCGAATATTGATTGCTTTTGGGAATAGCTCTTTTCAACTCAAAATATT